AGACCAAAAGATCCTCAAAAGCTACACATCATGCCGAGATCCAAAGAAATCCAGGAACAAATGAGAAAGAAAGTAATTGAGATCTATCAGTCTGGAAAAGGTTATAAAGCCATTTCTAAAGCTTTGGGACTCCAGCAAACCACAGTGAGAGCCATTATCCACAAATGGCGAAAACATGGAACAGCGGTGAACCTTCACAGGAGTGGGCGGCCAACCAAAATTACCCCAAGAGCGCAGCGAAGCCTCATCCAAGAGGCCACAAAATACCCCACAACAACATCCAAAGAACTGCAGGCCTCACTTGCCTCAGGTCAGGTCAGTGTTCATGACTCCACCATAAGAAATAGACTGGGTAAAAATGGCCTGCATGGCAGAGTTCCAAGACAAAAACCGCTGCTGAGCAAAAAGAACATAAAAGGTTGTCTCCGTTATGCCAGAAAACATCTTGATGATCCCCAAGACTTTTGGGAAAATACTCTGTGGACTGACGAGACAAAAGTTGAACTTTTTGGAAGGTGTGTGTCTCGTTACATCTGGCGTAAGAGTAACACCGCATTTCAGAAAAAGAACATCAGACCAACAGTAAAATATGGTGGTGGTAGTGTGATGGTCTGGGGCTGTTTTGCTGCTTCAGGACCTGGAAGACTTGCTGTGATAAATGGAACCATGAATTCTGCTGTCTACCAAAAAATCCTGAAGGATTTTTTGGTAGACTGCGAACTTGGGTTCTGCAGCAGGCAACGATCCAAAACACACCAGCAAGTCCACCTCTGAATGGCTGAAGAAAAACTAAATGAAGACTTTGGAGTGGCCTAGTCAAAGTCCTGACCTGAATCCTATTGAGATGCAGTGGCATGACCTTAAAAAGGTGGTTCATGCTCGAAAACCTTCCAATGTGGCTGAATTACAACAATTCAGCAAAGATGAGTGGACCAAAATTCCTGCACAGCGCTGTAACAGACTCATTGCAAGTTATCGCAAACACTTGATTGCAGTTCTTGCTGCTAAGGGTGGCCCAACCAGTTATTAGGTTTAGGGGGCAAACACTTTATAATGTATTTTTGGGATTTGTACTCCTCTATAGCTGGCGGTTTTCTGCATTGCTATATAATGTATTGCTGAGATTTGTAGTCCCACTACAGCTTGGAGTCAGTGGCAGAGCTACCAGGGTCGCAGTAGTCTCAGCTGCGACCAGGCCCTGGCACTCCATCACTGTCCTAAAATCATTAGTCTGCATTGTTTTAGAAAAACTGTCACATGGCACTAAACAAAAAGTATCGGTAATTGCTATCGGCGAGTACTTGAGGCAAAGTATCGGTACTCGTATGTCTGGACAAAATGGTATCGGTTTATCCCTAATAAATATATGTGTGTGTTGGGGAGGTGGACAAGTTCCACACTGTCACTATTTTATTACATTCCAAAAGAAAACCTCTGCATTATGGAGATTTATGCTGCATTCTTCTGTTTTTGGAAAAGTGGAACATAAGCTAGTACATAGCGCAACAGTTTTGAGCGCTTGCGCTCCTCGTCAGGTGCATAAAATCTCAAAATTAATGAACTCATCTGTGTACTGCTGTTCCTTCATTGTCTAACTATCACATGGGGGACATGTTTTGACAAGTATTCTTTACTAAGTACAAACTGTGCTTTTGCTTCTGCTACAGTGGCGATTGATGACCAAGCTGTGCTCAGTATATGTAAACTGTGTATTTAGCTTCTTGAATGAAATCCAGCTATAATTTATTGTGAAGTTTAAGGATGGCTGAATCAGTAGTGTTTGAAATGTGAATTCATTATATAGCATGTATGACATTCTTTCCACTTTAGGATTTACATGTTTAATATAATTCACAAGGTATTATATGTGTACCAGGTATACAAGGGAAATTGTCCTATACTTGTTCTTGGAGCAGATTTAATAAACAGCATAATTTCTAATGTGCTTTTTAGTAGCTTTTTATAGACACTGTAGTCTTCTTGTTTCAATTGCATAAGAAAAAAACCTTGTTTTGTAGAATTCATTGATTTTATTTTGCTTAATTTGATATAACCGTACAATTTTTACAAGTTTAATTATTAAATATTTTATGAAAATATTGCACAAATATTTAGAAATTATGATTTGTGAAGAATAACAAAAGATAAACTCTGTTGTTTTTCATTGTAGATGGAGTCAACAGAAAACCTGTATATGTTTCACCCATCACAGGCAAATGTACTTATGCATCTAAATAGCCATGCTGAAAATATTATCATATTTGGCGGTAAGTTTAAACCTTTCTTTTTTACAGTAAATGAGTAATGGAGATGCTAGCCTGGGTCTTCCAACACTCCATTTTCTAATATACTGTATGTGTGAATGTTGTTTAGTAGATCAGCAGGTAAATGAAATGTGTTGCATACTGCAGATGTAAAATATGCAAAATATCATTCGGAATAGAGACACTTTTACAGAAAATATATAGTAGTTTTGAAGATCTTTTCTTTATAATGGTTAAAAAAAACTGGAATTCTGAGACTAAGGTTTCTATCAGGCAAACGGAGCTGCAAGCAGGTTGCGGGCTCTTTAGCTAATAAATACTGTTCTGGGAATCCTTTGTCGAATACTAAATTCTTATTTGTAAAACAAAGATTGTATATTATCTCTGAATATTGTGTAAATTATCTCTGAATATTGTGTAATATAATATCTGAAAATTGTGTAAATAAATCTAAAGTTAAATAATCGGCAAGTGTTCGAAATGAATTATTATATCAATTACATATATAATATACTAACAAAAATAATATAATACTCCACAATACAATTCGTGATAAAGTGCTCAGAACAATCTTCTAAGTGCTGTGATATAGACAGTCGACTTTAAACGTGCTCCAAAAAAAGTCTATGTCAATATATCTCCTCAATATGTGTGGATCACCTGGGAACAGAGCACAGTTTGGATGGTGAAGCACAGTATCTATTGAAGAGATATGTTTGTGTTTATTCACTGGTGAATTTATTCACTTTGGGACATTGACTTTTTTTTGAGCACTTTTAAAGTGGACTGTAGAAGATTGTTGTGAGGACTTGATCATGAATTGTATTGTGGAGTATTATATTATTTTTGTTAGTATATTATATATGTATGTGATATAATAATTCATTTCATGATCTTGGAGATTATTTAAGTTTAGATTTAGTCACACAGTTTTCAGATATTGACAGTGCAGTGCACTATATTACTATCATTATTCTACACTTAAAAGTACAGCAGCTATTATTGGTATTGTGGTTCCCTAGCACAGATTTATTTTTTTATAAAGATTGTATATTGGTACTTTTAAAAAAAAAAGTATAACCTTAAATTACTCAATAAAAAACCTAGCATAATATTGACCCTAAAGCAGAGGTGTCAAACTCAAATACACAGTGGGCCAAAATTTAAAAAATGCTCAAAGGTGGAGGGCCGGGCTGGTTCACACAGTATAATACAGCGGCATATACAGTATATCACACGGTATAATAACAAAGCCTGTACATTTAATTATTAAAAAGCATGATACATAATTACAATAAAACATTTTTTTTAAACTTTTTTATTTACTTTCCCTTTAAGAAATAGCCTAAATATTTAAATAATAAAAGCCAAAAACAGACATTAAATAGTACGGTGCATTTACAACAAAAGAATTTACTTACGAAAAAGTTTTTCCATCTGGTGCCTACTTCTGTGGATTCTTCCCCTGCTTTCTCTCCTCATTGCGCAGGGTAGATATCAGTGGGGGATCAGGAAAATCATCAATTAGGGATGTTTTCAAAAATAGTTTTATCTCTATTATTTAAATTACAATTTTAAAAAAAAAGTATGCTGGGGGGATGCTCAATGGGGACAGTATTGAGTCCATACTGTCCCCATTGAGCATCCCCTCACATAATGTTTACTATAATTTAAATAATAGAGATCAAACTATTAGATGACATACTAGTGCGGAGGCAGGAGGTACACAGTGATGGAGAAGAAGGGGAGAGATATGCTGACTGACAGTGTCACAGCACCGTACCTGCAGGCTTCAGCTCTCCCGGCTCTCTGTCGTCTCTGTTGGATCCTGATTCCCGCCAGGGAGCACCTCACGTCATCTGGACTGGACCTCGGGACCTCTCTCAGTCACCTCACCTCATGACCACACCTCACTTGTCATGCTGTGCAGCAGCTCTCCGGCTCCTCAGTCCCATGAAGATCGCTGCGGGCAGCTTGAGAGAGCTGCCAGCGGGCAGGGCCAGATCTAATGATAATTATCATCAGGCGGGCCGGAGATGATCCCATTGCGGGCCAGTTCCGGCCTGCGGGTCTTGAGTTTGACACGTATGCCCTAATGCATTACACTTTTTCTTTTTTAACTTGCACCAATTAAAAATTCCATACAGACTTTAAAGTTCACAATAAAAACTAAACAGTATATTTTTTGAACGGTAAAGACCCATAGACGTTAACATTTGTATTATAGGCCCTGCATGCCTATGGTTACCAAAAATCTATTCAAAATAAACAAATATATGAAAAACACTATTAGTGCATAATATGAAGTACCAGATTTCATGTCCTTTGTAATAGATGAAACCGTCTTCATAAATGACTCAAAATTGTTCACATTTGCACAACAATGGAAAATTAAGACACACATATAGGCAATGTATATTGTAAAACTACGAGATGACCTATTTAGCATTCAACTAAAATGATGTCCCTAAAGTTATTCTAACTTCTAACATTTGTAGAGGATACCTAATGTGTGTGATGTAATAGCAGTTTTATGTTTGTGTGTGCCATATTTGTGCGTATATGTATGTTATGTGTTTTGTTGGTTTAGATTTTTTTTTTTTGTCTTTCATTACTTTTTTAGGGCTCGTTCACACAACGTCCAATGAACTGTGTTTTTTTTCTGCACAAGAACAAAGCAGGTCAACACCATGGCACACAGAAAACTATTGACTTAAAGGAGAACTATGAGGTGAGTGATTTTCACTCACCTCATAGTTCGAGCCGACGTGTGACAATGAAACTGTCACATGTCAGCTGAATAGATCGGGAAGTGAGTGAGCATATACCATCTCTCACTTCTCGATCCTGTCTCTGCAGAGAGCTGTCACTCACGGCTCCCTGCAGGGATTCCCCCCGCTCCGATCCTCCAGCGCTGACTGGCGAAACGGACGAGGGAGGGGGCGGTTACAGCTGTCTCTGCCTCTGGATAGGCAGAGCTAGCTGTCACTCACGCAGCTGGGTGGATCTTGACAGGAATGTCGGGATCTGTCCCGTCTGCGGCGGTCTCAGTATCCCGCGAGCCGTGGTATACTCAGCTTTGGGTCACGGGAGGAAGCTAGTTTATGTCCTCCCCTGACCCTGAGGAGAACTATGGGGAAAAACACTTACCCCATAGTTCTCCTTTAAGGTGAATTGCATTACGGACAAATGCAGACATGCTGCAGTCATATTGTGACAGTTCAATAAAAGTTAAAAAAAAGAGAAATGTGTAAAAGGTTTGATGGGCTGGAACAGGGCAAAACACCGCCCCCCTCCCCACAGCCCTTACACAGCGGGCACCTTAAACACTATGAGGGGAATTTATCGAAACTGGACCAAACAGAATCTGGAGCAGTTGTCCATAGTAACCAATCCGCTTTTATTTTCACTTTATTCAATTAAGCTTTTAAAATGAAAGATAGAAGCTGATTGGTTGCCATGGGCAGCTGCTCCAGATTCTGTCTGCTCCAGTTTTGATAAATTCACCTCTATGCATTTAAAAAGAGGTGTTCGTAGAATAGAGTACATTTGCAGCCACACTGTCCAGTCAAGGCCCCTCTGTATGGTGTGGTTGACTGGGCAGTGTGGATCAGTATTACAGATCTAATGTCCTGTAAATAGTCCTAGAGAGGTAGAAGGAAGGTGTTACTGAGAAGAGAGAAGAAATGTCTTGTAGCAGAGATGGCGGTTTTTCTCTGTAATCTGTTATCACCTTTCATTTTTTGTGTCATTAATATTTCTTTTTACTTTTGCCTTGAAGCGGCCTTGTTTGAACGCAGCCGCCATGCCTGCTATGTTCTGATCACTGGACCTCAAATGATGGAAAACCCTGGCAATCTGACTGTATCCAAGAGGAAGTTAAAGGAAGATATCAGTAATGGAATAGTGATTGGGCTTGGGACTGAATATATCGACACTGAGGACATAAGGAACCATTTCTTCAGGATGAGATATTCCAGCCACTAGTGGAAAAGAACTAGTGCAGAAAACGTGAACATTAAATGCCTTGTGTATGCTACTTTCTTTGAGGATAACCACATTTATTAAAATAATGAGATGCAAGATCAGTTTGGTGAAAGAACAACACTAACATGCCTACAGAATCAAAAATCATGAACGAATGAGACACTAAGCTTTTCTTGTGTATGTTTTTTGGAAACTGAAATATGTCTTATCTGTAAACTTGTAAATCATTTTATTAGCAGCAAGTACTCATTGGTAAAAATACACTATAGAACATGTGCAGTTAGTAAGCTGTAGGGTGTGATAATTAAGGTGTAAAAATGTGCTTGGTTTTGTGGAGTTGTTTCTTGCCCATACATTAGGAGATCTAGCAGCGGAATCTTAAAAGAAGTCTTCTGTTAGTATTGGGAGAAATATTTTAGGCTGCCATTGCTAATTTCTCCTTGTGAATACACTAGTTGCTTTCTGAGTCTCCAGCCTGAAATAGGCATACAGATCAGGAACTCTCTTGCTTACTAAGATTTTCAACTACATCATGCCTCTTGCCCTTGAGAAGCAACAAGAAAGGTATTAACTGCCAGTGTGCCACTTTATTTCATTCAGACAGTCACCTGATTAATCCAGAGGTTTCTAACACTTAAAAAAAGGGGGCAGATGTAGCTTCTCCCATCATTCTCTCTAGCTAACAATAGCCATCAGGTGATTTATCTGTTAATATACTGTATGCCAGAATTGATGACAATCATTATATGTATGGGCACCTCATTATCCAAGCAGGCATTTCTCCCAAAGGGAGAAGGCATGTAGGCTGTGTTGTATTACACCTGAATCTGCATGTTATTTATGCACATAATGCATATGTTTGTGTGCGTGTGTGTGCGCGCGCGCGTGTGTGTGTGTGTGTGTGTGTGCGTGATCCCATGACCATTTAATATCTATGACCAACTTTAAAATACACAGATGTTATGCGATATACCCATGCAAGTTTGCCTTTAGCTTGCCCATTTAGCCCATGGTGACAAAGCTGGTCTGTTGTCCATAGTATGGTTATTGAACCTTACTAAGAACACAGCTGTAGTGTACAAAGATGCTGAAGGCAGGTGTCTGTGCACAGCACCAGCTACCAGCCAGTTCTTTTTGCCCTGCACAGACAGGAATGCACAGTAAATTTAGTAAATGTAACTTTAGTACAATAATCTGTTTCACATTTTCAGTAAAAACTGTTCCTGCATCCACTGTACTTGATAACGATTGCACATTACTGGTGTGTAGTTTGATGACTTCATAACATATTTATAGATGTTTTCAATACTAATTACTTGAAAAATAGACTTGAATCGCTATTACCAGTAACTTAATCTTTTAAGTTCTAGTTTTATTTAACTGAAGGACTCATAGAAACAGGGGCACCAGTAATATGGTATGTGTGTGTGGGCAACTGTAATAAAGTGCACGTAGAATTTGTATACTGGGCTTTTCAGCTAATGAGTGAATGTCCACTTTTTTATGGAAATTAATTTATTAAAATCTGGTTGAAAATTTGATTTCCCAGCTCATTGACTCAGCAGTAAATTGACTTTCACTGAAACACATTACGCGCAAATTGCTGACTGGAACTAGCATGGGGTTCATGACAGATTCTCCTTAAGCCCATTATCTTTTAAACATCTCACATCACACAAGTAAGGGTATTTTATTAAATTGTATCTAATGAAACAAAACATTGACAAAAATTTTAAATATTGCAGCTTGCCAGTTCTTC